CCCTCTGCAAGGGGATCTCCTCCACTGGGTTTTTCAATTGATGACCTTCAGATTTCGACGGCCAGCCCATTCTTCCAAGGTGTCTGTGGGCGATTGTGAGTTGTCACTTTCAGGAAGAAGCGAAGCATGTGAACCATCATACCACCAGAGGCTGCCCCGTCACTGGGCTATTGGTGTCAGGTTCAGTCCAGTGGGTTCCGACCCCCAGTGGCTTCTCCCAGCCCTTTGCCATCTTCACAATGGGTGTGATGTTTGCGCCCACTGTTGCAGCCACCGTGCCAATCCATGTCATTCAGGTCTCCCTCTTTTCACTGGTCCCCTACCTAACCACGGGTGATATCCCTGTCCAGTACTGGTCCCTCCTGAAAGTACACAAGACAGTGTCTCGCTTTCTCCATTTCCAAGGAATCTTTCCGCTGTCCTTCTTCTGAGACAGATTTGTTCTGCTCGCCTAGGAGTCCACGGTGCCTTCAACAGTATTTGTCAACATAATTCAAATACATCAGCTTTCCTGCTGTCAGCCTTCTTCGTTGTCCAGCTTTTACATGCCCACGAGGCGACTGAAAATACTATGACTTGAGTTATTCACATCTTAGTCTGCAAAGAGACAGCTTTGCCCTTTAGCACTTTAAACGGGTCTTGGGCAGCAGGTAGAACATGCTATTTGATTCCTGCTGCTCCCATGAGCAGTCATTGTGGATCCAAGTCAAAGGAAATCCTTGACAACGTCAGTATTATTTCCATTTACCATGATGTTGTCTATCAGTTCAGTGATGAGGAATTTTTTTCTTTACATTGAATTGTAATCCATATGGAAGGCTGGAGTCTTTGATATTTATATGTGCTTCAAATTCTTTTCACTTTCAAAAAGCAAGGTTGTAACACCTGCATATTGTAGATTGTTCATTTGATCCTAATACCATGTTATTCTCCATACAGTATAGCTTCTCTGATTATGTGCGTAGTATGTAGATTAAGTATGGTGAAAGGATTCAACCCTGACACACAACTTTCTGGATATTAAACCTTGTCGTAGCCTCATATTCTGTTTGTGCAGCTGTCTGTTGATCGATGGACGAGTTCCCCACAAGCACAATGAAATGTTCTGGAATTTCTATTCTTCTGAATACAATCGACAGTCTGTTATGAGCCACATAATTGAGGGCCTTTCTATTGTCAATAAAGCTCAAGTAAACATTTTCTGGTATTCTCTGCACTTAGCTAAGATCCATCTGCTATCAGCAATGATCGCATTTCCACATTTTCTTCTGAATCTGACTTGAATTTCTGGCAGCTTCCTGTAAAGGTACCGCTGCTACTACTTTTAAATTATCTTGAGCAAAATGTGACTTGTGCTAATGATATTGTTGGATAATTCCTGCATCCCATTGTGTCATCTTTCTTGGCCTGGGGACGAATGGGGATCTTTTGCAGTCAGTGGGCTGGGAGAGCTTTCCCACCTTCTTAGCAGTGAGTGCTTCAGCGATGCATCAGATTGTAGCCTCCCAGTGGTCCCTGGAGCCTTGTTTCTGACAAGACCTTCAGTGCAGCTTGGACTTCTTCCTTCGACACCAACAGTTCTTGTTCACATGCTACCTCTTGAAAGGGAAGAACATCAACCAGTTCTTCAGTTCTATCTTCTCTTGATGGCCTTTGTATCACTCGATATTTTCTCCACTTCTCATTTCTTTCAGCTTGAGAGACACTGAACACGTGCTTACCCTTTTGCATTTCCACCCAGATCTTTGACATTTCCTTATAATGCTTTGTCTTTTCAAACTGCCTTTTGGAATTTTCAGCTAAACTCTTTCACTCCATTGCTTCCATTCACAGAGGTAGCTAATGCAGCACATTAACCGTCCCCCAAACCTCAGACTCACTGCCACCGAGTCGAGACCAACCCACAGTGACCCTGTAGGGCAGGGCAGAACTGCTCCTGTTCTTGCTGTAACTCTTTACAGGAGTAGAAAGCCCTGCCTCTCTCCCCAGGAGCAGCGGGGCGTTTCAAACTGCTGACCTTGCCGTTCAGAGTGTAATGTGTAACCACTACGCCACCAGGGCCCCTTTGAGGAACCTTACCTCCTGTCAAATCCGGATGGCAAGCCATCGTGACGGTGTCTCCACTCATCACCATCTTCTTTTCAGCTTTTCCAGCTCATCTGTTCACTTGTCTCCCATTCCAGTCACTCTTGGCTCACAGAGGACCTTCAGTCCATTGGCTCTCGTACATTCGTGCTTTCCATCGTCCACCTTCTCATTGCTACGACCTTCTTACCCAACTTAAGGAACCCTGGGTGATACAGTGGGTTCAGCGTTGGGCCACTAACCTCAAAGGCAAGAGTTCAAACCCACCAGCCACTCTGAGGGAGAAAGGTGAAGCTGCCTGCAATCCAGGCAGACAAATATTCCTAACTCTGAACAGCTACGATTTCAAAAGCATCCAAAGTGACTACTTTTTCTCTTGTCCAGGATCTTCCCAGAAGAAGCAAGCTTTATACTCTTGGGGCCATGATGGAGGGGTCCGCATGCTAGAAATACTGGGGAGTCATAACTAGGGGGGAAACTACTTTGTGGAGGCGGTAGTCACAAAACAAACAGTCATGTATTTAAAACACTAACAAAACACCCTATTTGTTGCCAA